TCAGACAGAACGCGTGAAACGCGTTATTGGTGGCATAATTCGTAGTGTTTGTGCTGAAACACCCAAGCAATGGAGCACGATGCTTCCACTCATTGAGTTTGCGTTGAATAACGCGGTGTATGCCTCAACAGGCTTTACCCCATTCTATGTAAATGGTTTGATTAATCCTCACGTTCCGTTAACGCTACACCCTGCCATTTCAGGGCTTAGTGGGGGCAAGATAGCCAAAGGCTTGGCTGATTTCAGCCCTGTTGCGCTTCGCAAGAAGGTGTAAACGTTTCTGCCAACGCGTTTTGATGTATTACGTCGCGTCGAAGATGCTATGGGACAGATGTTCAAAAGGAACATGCAGATGCCAAAGGCAGGAAGAATGAACACGAGTTCAAAGTGGGTGATTTAGTTTTATTAAATGCTAGGAATTTACGACACGTGATTGTCTGCGGTATATAAAACCAAACTGCGTCCACGCTCTATTGGACCTTTCAAGGTCATAGGCAATAAAGGCTTAGCCTATACGCTGAACCTTCCAAAGAAGATGAGAACACAGCCTATGTTCTACGTGGTAGTGCTAAAGCCATATCACAACCGTGACTCGGTGGACTTGGAGGGGTTGTCCCCATACTCTCGGCCGAAGGAAGCGGGTATTACGGCACCGGAGGTGCATATGGACGCTGGAGTCGTACCAAAAGATCATGGATCGATGGGTCACCGACCCCCGCTATTGCTGATTGATGAGCTGGGTCATCATCAGTTTCACGTCGAGCATCTTTTGGCACGATGTGTTTACCAGGGCCACACCTAGTATCTGGTAAAGTGGAGGGTTTTTACAGTCGTATGAATCGTGGGAGTACGGGATACCCCTCCGGCAAGACTGCCGGACGTCGTTGAAGCTTTTGATCGGGAAGATCATAAGCGGTGACAGCAGTCGCCGGATGCTTCCTAACACCAGGTGCTGTAGAAGCAAGGTCAGTAGCTAGGCTTCACCAATGAAGTTCTTGGGAAACAGTTGCCGATACCTCACTCGCGTGAAAAGTACTATAATCTGCTTCCGAAGCAAAAATTACGGCGATATGGCTTTTTATATATAATACGTAAGGCGTAAAGTTTTAGGGAGCTCAAAGAGCAAGTGGACATAGCACGCTATGGCTCCATGAGCATATGCTGAGCACTACGGTGCACTAAATAAGTGTGAAACACTTAGCTGCTATATGAGCACGCTTTAATCATAATGAAGCTTTATAAGCAAGTTTACGACACTTTGGGGCTTTATATAAGCAAGTGGTAAACCATGTTGTGCTTTATAAGCAAAGTAACACTGTGGTGCTTTATATAAGCAAGTGTGAAGCACTATGAAGCTTTATCAGAAGTTTACAACACTTTGGGATTATATAAGCAAGTGTTTTAAGCGCTTAAAGGCTTAACAGAAGCAAGTGTTCAACACTAAGGTGCGTTACAAGCACGTGTTAAACACTTAGCTGCTTTATAAGCGAGTGCTGAACACGAAGGTGCTTTAAAAGCAAGGGTTTAGCGAAAATGTGCTTTATAAGCAAGTGTTGTACACTTAGATGCTTGACAAGCTAGTGTTAAATACACTATGGTGCTTTATAAGCTACTATTAGATGCTATGGTGCTTATACGCTAAAGTGAAGCAAAAACGCGCTTTATAAGCAAGTGTTGAACACTTAGGTGCTTTATAAGCTAGTGTTAGACACTAATATGCATTGTAGCTAGTGTTCGACACTAATGTGCATGATAAGCTAGTGTTCGACACTAATGTGCATTATAAGCTAGTGTTAACATTACGGTGCTTTGTGAGCAAGTGTTACACAATTATATGCTCAATCGCTTATAAGCAAGTGTTGTAAACACTGTAATGCTGAAAAGCAGGTGTTTGTGAATACACAAAAGGTATTAATACCAAATGCTAGGCACTTAGCGCTTATAAGCAAGTGTTGTAACACTATAATGCTTTAGCGTGAGTGCAATGCACTGTAATGCTCAAGGAGCAAGTGTCGTAACACTAGGATGCTTAGAAAGCGTGTGTGCATAGCACAGGTGCTCAAGGAGCAAGTGCTAGAACACAGAAGCTTTAGACGCAAGTGCAAGCACTTATTGCGAGGCAAGCAAAATGGGTAGAAAATAAAAATCGATGACTCCCAACAAGTTCTAAACATCGTGGGTACGTCGGGTCCCACGAATTGGTGGGGGAGGGTGTAACGGGGTTACACGAAGGTGTGTATTGTACATACACACCCGCCACACCAATGTGGTGTGGCTGTACCTTGGGTACAAAGTAGGTGATGTGACCGTACCTGAAGTACGAAGGGTCACATCGTGGCAGAGAGCCACGTGGTCACTATACTTATTTGTGTAGTGATTATGCATGTTGCATAATAATAACAGGCTATAGAGCCAGTAATAGTGACTAGCACTAAGTATATGATAAGTGCTTCTATATTTAGTGTTAGAAGATAAACATAAATACAAATCATTTTCAAACCTGATCTGTAAGCATCACTGCTTGAGCTTTCTATTCCTCCTGAGAAATCAGCATCTTTGATACTAGTCTCTTTGAGACCCGGTTGTAACAACCGATAGGCACAAGCTTACGGGCTAGCCTAGGAGGGTTAAGCACCCTAAGACGTATAAGCTCACTGAGCTTGTCTTCCTCTGCACATAGTGCATAAGTAGCTTTGCTGCAGTAGTTTGACTACTTTTTCTGCACATACATCTGCACATAGTACATAACTAGCGCGGCTACAGTAGCTTGGCTACATTCCTGTTAAGATGTAAGAGAGGTTATACTCTTCCCTACAAAAACGTCGGGAACAGCGTATCGACAAATCTTTGAACTTACAATGAAAGTTGTAGCGAATTCATCGTCAGCTTTGCTTTCTAAGCAAATAAGTGTTCCCAACGCTTCCTTACTAAGCGTCTAGAGCATATAGTGTGCAACATTTGATTCTAAGTATTTCTCAACACAACACAACACTTGATTCTAAGTATTTCTCAACACAACACTTGCTCATTGAGCCGGCTATGTGCTCCAAATACTTGTGCGTGAGCGGCCACAGTCTGTACCCTAAATCTGCTTAAATAGCACCATGAGCATAAACACTTGTTCAGTAAGCCAATAAGGAAGTGGTTCTCAACACTTGCTCCTTGAGCGGTCACAGTCGTTGCGCCTTACGCTCGACAAACGACAAAGTCTTACACGCTTTAGTCTCTGCTTGCTTAGCAGTTGCGTATCCTTATCATGGATGAGACGATGGGTTTTGGTCTCTTCGCCGCAACGTAGTATTTGGAACTGTCGTTCATTATCGTTTTTATACAAGTCCGACCTTCCTACTACATATATGTGCTGTCGCCTCCCACAGCAACCTACCTCTGGGACTTCACAGTCCGCTCCTTCCCATACTGAAACTTAACACGCCGTTAACATGTCTAAATGCATCCTTTATACAACAAGTAGGCTGGCTTCGCGTCAGATTTTCTGTAGAAGCCGACGACGGTACGTCCCTTGCTTGAGAGGTACGAGCAACTGCTTCAGAAGCAGGATACCCACAAGTTTTTGACCTGTATGTGAAGCTAGTTTACGCTTGGTTTTGAGCTTTACGGAATTATAACGAAGTCGACATCCAGACGTCCTGCTCCTTTGAGCTCAAGCGCAAGTCAGAGTGACTTGGGAGCTTGCAAACTTGTTCGACCCAGCGGTTATTCTGGAGATCATCTTTTGCAGATGTCTCGCCATGTGCTAAGACAACTGGCATGTCATTAATCGGTGGCACTGGCGCCCCACGTGACTGTCTCGACAGTCGTTCCTCATTCGATTTTATCGTAAACCTGTGAGGAGTAAGGAGACGATTACAAAGCGCAGTGCAATCGTAGATCTCACAAGTGGTATGAGCCTCGGGCCCAATGAGGTAGGAGCTGAGCAACTAAAATGCAACTCATCGAGCTTCTCATTCGCGTCACGGGCCACAAACCCTTATTCATGCCGTGAAAACGTGTGTTTTGGGCGTGCCAAGTTCGTCGATCTGGTCTAATCAGCAGCCTGACGACGCTGGACAGAGTCAAGAGGGCTGAGCACCTTTTCATCATCAGCCTCACGAGAGGGAGCTGGAGGCACTTGGCCAGGGATGTCTCCTTACACGCTGAAGGTGAAGCAGGCAAAGGCTGCCGTTCCCGCTCAATTAGCGTGGGTGACACAACCAGAGTTAGACTCGGTGTAAGTTAACTTCACTGATATCATATCCGAAGAGATCAAAGCCCATCGTCTCATCCATGATGAGGATACGCAACTCAACAAGAGACTAAAGCGTGTAAGACTTTGTCGTTTGTCGAGCGTAAGGCGCAACGACTGTGACCGCTCAAGGAGCAAGTGTTGAGAACCACTTCCTTATTGGCTTACTGAACAAGTGTTTATGCTCATGGTGCTATTTAAGCAGATTTAGGGTACAGACTGTGGCCGCTCACGCACAAGTATTTGGAGCACATAGCCGGCTCAATGAGCAAGTGTTGTGTTGAGAAATACTTAGAATCAAGTGTTGTGTTGTGTTGAGAAATACTTAGGAGCAAGTGTTGCACACTATATGCTCTAGACGCTTAGTAAGGAAGCGTTGGGAACACTTATTTGCTTAGAAAGCAAAGCTGACGATGAATTCGCTACAACTTTCATTGTAAGTTCAAAGATTTGTCGATACGCTGTTCCCGACGTTTTTGTAGGAAAGAGTATATCCTCTCTTACATTTGAACAGGGAAGAATGTAACTCCATCACATCTCCATGTTCGGGTACCTCAGTGTCAAAGCCACTAATAATTACGGCGATGAAGGTGGTGCAACACGCGCGAGCAGCATCGTAGTCAAAATGCAAGGCAATGCCTGGTTCCATCGTATTGGTAAACACAAAGTTTGCTACAACAACATCATTCAGCAACTCGACTCGCACAATCGCTTTTTTACACACACAGTTCGCTCCCCAATTATTTATGCTTTGAACTTAGTCTGTTGTGAACCCATATAGCTCCGTATCCAACACAGCGTATAGCATACACTTGAGCTCGATGCGCGAGATGCCCAGCGGCAAATCCAGACGGTTAAAGCATGCGTAGCTGCGCACAAACTCATCTGGCGCGCCAACAATTCCCCGGATCGTAAATAAACATACCTTGCCGTCATAGCTGGTGAGCCCCCTAAAACCCACAAGAGGCACGCGTGAGCAGCCTGTGGTAAATTGCAACAAACGCCGTCGGTACTCGTTGGGCATTTCGCGCACAATCTCCCAAAACCAGGCAAGAGTCGGAGATCGTGCCACGCTTTCGGCGACGGATGAGTTTCTCTCCCAATCATCGACGTTAATTTCGGGAGACCCGCACATTAAATTGTCCAGCTCTTCGTAATCAAAGAGCGTCAACAGGTGCTGCGGAATGACTTCGTAAATACCCTTGAGAAATACATATAACTGGTCGGCGACGCTTCTCAGCAGCAGATGCTCGAATTTGCGTTCCAAGTACTCGTGCTTATTGGCATCAGTGACTTCAATGTTGCGTCCATTTGGGATAAGGTCGACCAACTTTGTTTGATTGCCCTTGCGCTCCATCACGCTGAAATCAAGATTCAACGCCTCGATGCCATCATTTTCCAGTATCCACTTCATGCTCTTGTGTACCTCCGGGTCAAGGTACTCTACGTCATCCATGCATAGTGGCGTACCCAAGATGAGCTTAAGCAGCGGAACGCACAAATGAAAGCTGAGCACTGTGCCTTCCAAAAGCGATCGCCCCAGTAGTCGCCCTGCTCCGTAATAGTAAACAAGATGCTCCTCACCATTTTCATAGCGGGAATTTGAGTTCAGGAAAAACGCCCGGTCTTCCCCCTGGGTAACCTTGAACAACCCCGCTTTCGGATCCATCAATAACTCCGTTAGTATCATAAACCATTCGCGATGGAGTCCGCCTGCATCCACACCGCTTTCCTCAAGAAAATTAATTCGCATGGCCGATCGAATATACTTCTCATCTATACACCCGAGGTGTTCCATAGATTCCTCAAACATGTAGTCTCTGTGAATAGAAAGCTTGAGAAACTCAACCTCAGGTGGGACAAGTAGTGAAGCGGAGCTTTGGACAAAGTACGCGTACTTTGATGGAAAGTCTTTGACCGCCAAATTCAATATTTCACGTCGGCGTTCAACTCCTGCTTGAGTATCGCTCTCCAATACTTCCCCGGTGGCTCGTGCAGCGGCATCCCATTTTGTAGCAGAAATAATATCCAAGTGAACAACCTCATCAAACACCTTTACTTTTGCAGGCTCTATGATCGCCATATCACTTTGTATCACAAACGGACCGTTCATCAGTCCGGGCATCTTTGCATTTTCATTGGGCTTCACAAACCGGATCACTTTGCCCACTCGAGCAGGTGCGATAACCCCATTGCATTCTTTCACGCGAAACCAAAACATGTTTCCCTCCACATCCAGTTTCCTTGTCCATTCCTTTCGCTTTCTCGCACGAAGCTGACGTTTTGTCAAGTGATGAGGATGCTTCGTACATTCACGCTCCTTTTCCTTCTCCTTCCTCCTGCTTTTTTTCCACTTGTGTTTGCTGCCGTTGTCATGAATGACCATCCTTACGTCCATGCATTCCCCACAAATCGAGCAGTAGAGTGTATTCTTAAAGTTTTCAAACTCGCATACGGGGCACACTTCAAAGCCCTTTTCTGCCTCTCTTGTGGCTGCATCCAAGCGATGGTTATTTCGGACAGTCGAGCTGCAATAATGGTTGTGTACAGAGTGTTATATATTCAATCAACTACATTATCAATGAAAGCAACAGAGATGTTGATGACCTACTTATCCAGAAGCGGAACCGCTAGTTCACGCAATCTCGGTGTGTGTATCCGAATGATCTTTTGCCGCATTAAGAAAAAAGCAATGACCAACACAGCCACGAAACCCACTTTTGCTAGAATGGCGATCACGCCGCTGTCGTCCATGGCTTCATACACACAAATTCTTTCGCAAGTACTTCTCGACGTCTACGGATCAAATCGTTTCGAATTGATTGCAACGAGAACTGAATAGAACTAAAACGTAGGTATAAATTTCGATTCTTAATTTCTTCTCCATCTCTTGATTTGACCTTCAAATAAAGGCCAAAAAGAACATTCTCTAGACCATATCTGAAAGGCTAAATCTGGTCTAAAAAATACACACCCACAAACAACTTTTTAGGTTAAAGGTATCAAATACCACGCATCTGTCGGTCGCAGACGGACGTATTCAGCTCGAAGACGCCATCATTAAGCATTCCCTGGATTCAAAATGACAATTGCAACCTCGACATATTTTACCATCGCGACACGGAAAGTTGTCCAGACAATCGCAGAGAAATGTCAGGTAGATTAGATTTATTCTTATGATTATAAAGTTTAGAATCTACTAGTTTCTAAAATTATGAATCGAATATCTAATCCTAGGTACTGGAAAAAATGCTAAACATCTCACGTGAAAAGCTCCAAAGCGCACAGAAAATCGCACAAGACTCGGTGTTTACGCATACACCGGTATGTTTAGACGTCACGCTCGATTCTTGATGGTATTTATCCGGTAAAATGGTACTGGTCCAACTCTTATGGTGGTGTATGGTAATGAATGATGTTGCGGTATGGATGGGACTCAAAGCTTCTACACGAGATGAATTGCGTGTTTGAACAACTCCAGAGCAGTTCAGTGGATCCAAATATGGTGGGCGGTGAACAAGGCAAGACACTGTTTGACTTTGTAGATGCCGAGACGGTTCAATCACTACAACAGGATGCTTTAGAACAGACAAAAGAGTATATGAGAGGCCAAAGATTAAGTCGTTGTTGATGTAGATGATCAGATGGTTGATGAGTTCTTTTTTGGTGTGGTGCGATCGATAGGGTGGAAGATTTGCTGGTGGCACATCAACATGCTATCACGAGAATAGCAGCAATATATGAGTTTTTCCGGATGTTTGATAGAACTCATGGACACGATGTTGATGAGCTGGTTGGAGAACATCGAGACATTACTTTGATCACGTACGTTCTATTATTTTTCAAACGTTCGTGATTGATGTAGTGTTGACTTTGCCACTTGAGTAGAGATGACGAAGTTAAACCAATTGAAAAGCTTTACGATGCAGCTGTATGTCAGAAAGGTTATCAACACTGTACAGGCTAAGATGTTGACCACGTTGTACTACTCGTTTACATTGATAGGTCAGCTTTTTTGTTGACATGGAGCAGTGCGACCGGTTCTTGCTACAGTACTTCACCACTATCAATGATATCTATCCTCAGTACGTTTTGCGAGACAGCAGTATACGTTAAGAAGCTAGTAACTTAACGCTAACTGTCCCTGTTACGCTGCAGCTACGAATTAATCTTTGCAGATGTGCAGCTTCTGTTCGATGAGCTGCGTAGCCTTCGGGACTTTTATCTCCAATTTTTGGCGTCGTACCAGTCTGTTGAAACGGAGTTGCTTCGACGTAAGCAGTATGACTTAAAAGTTTGCCAATTTGTAAGTCATAGTGGCTTATGCGCAATTGCCGAAAGTATGGGAAATGACCGTGCAATTTGGTGATATTGAGTAGATCGAAGAGACGAAAGTTAAGCTTGCAGATCTAGTGCAAGAAGAAGTCACCATGCGAAGCGCATTTTGCGAGGAGCACGCACGCTTCTTGCCATCCACGCTGTGCCCGGAAATTCAGGTAAGGAGGGGAGACCCGTCTTCGCAATCATTACAGTGGTTTTGATGCTTACTAACAGACACATTGCACTTGTGGTGTGTCAGAATTTGCCTGACAAATTTGTTGTCGTTCGTGAAGTCGATCGAGAAATACCGTAGCAAGTGAAAAGACAATTGGCTGCTCTGAAACTTAGAGTAGAGATCGATAACGTAAGATTGAATGTACATCTATAAGGTTGGTCCGATACCAATCCGCGATCAATGTTATCTTCGATATATTCAAGAATGGGTAAGCCTCACAGGAGCTACAACTTCTTAGACGGCTTAATCGGTTTGTACATGTGCGTTTTGACAATTGTGCCCTCCTTCGCGCGGGCAACTGCGGCTTCAAAAGGCGAAGACATCGTTACATCGGATGTATTCAGACATTGTACCTCCGTCACCGGAATATTGAGCGCGCGCTTGACAAAGTATAGCCGCAACAAAGCCGTTTGCGCTAGCGTGTACATGTTCGACGTCACCCAGTACACAAAAATTCCCTGTTGAAAGCAAGTTACCGAGGAACGTCAAATAACTAGGATCTTTGAAATGAATTGCAACTCCACACAATGCATACCGACTGAAAATTCATGGTGAGTGGTACCATCATAACCGCAAAGCAGCGCATACCAAATTTCATTTTGTCCTTCATTTCACCAGTCATCGCGTCCCCACCAAGTTCCACGGACGCTACCATCAGAGCGGAGGAAATCACGGGGAGCGCCATTGTGGAGTCGGCGGCGGAGAGGTCAGTAACCCAGCCAATTCCCTCGTGTGCATACTCAGGAAAGTACTTGGAAATGTCCTGCAGTCCCCAGAAGAACCCAAGAAAAACTGGAATCTACGTATGGTGACGATAGATGCACAGCACAACGACACGTACAAACTTGTTAATGAACACATTCTCTTGAAAGGTAGAAGGCCAGCAACTATTCCGCACCTGTGCCAACGGTGGGAGCATGCTCTTAAATGGATTTACATCGTGCTTTTTCATCAAAGCCTTGTACTTCTTCTGAAACTCCAGTGCAGAATCACCATCACGTGTTGGATTAGCGTCCATTTCGTCACGCAACTTTTCCATGTCCGGCTGAAAGAGCTTCATTTTGGCCGCATTTCTCATCTATCTTACGGCATCAGCTAAAACCGTAAGCACATGTTCACCTTAACTAATGGTTTTGCATTACCTACCGAAACAACCGTGATTGGGAAGAAGACCGTCCGCACGGCAACCGTTGTCACAATAATAGTCGCCCACCACGGAAGTCCTGTCGTAGCATGGATCACATCCAGGGAGCGAATGGCGATATCCGAAAGTCCGTAGCCTGCAATTTTCAATCAATCAATTGTCAACAGCCTTAGACAGTATCACTTTACATTCACAGCACTGTTTTCACCAAGGTCGGACAGGTAAGCGTAATCGACAGAGTCTTGGGTTGTCAAAAAAACAGATACAATAACATTAGCTTCGTTCAGCACATCAACCAAAGAATTATCGCATCGTACTCGTAGCGTCCAAAGCTTGTTCCGTCACATCCGAAGATGCAACAACATTTCGGTCGTCATCTAGCAGTCTATAACACAGCAATCCTTCTTAAGCTCTATGAATGTTTCCATTTCATCTCAAGCAAAATATATTCGTCGTACCCAGTCACTGGCGTCGTAGAGAATTGCCGTCCACCACATTGATCAATGGAGATGAGCTGAACACTACTCAATTGAGCTGCGTGTTTAAAACGCAGCGTAGGGGCGATACGTCGACCACTGGTTGCAATAAAATACATTACAATACAACCACCAATCAGTATAATGACACAGCTAGTCAGCATAGGTAGTACTGCAAAGCAGAATCAAGACTGTATATGTACCCATGAGCCGTATAGCGTGCCATGACCCTGACGGCTGGATGCATACGATTCATCGAGACAAGCGCCATCACTTTACAGGCTGATCAAGTTTATGGGTCTCCCGTGAATCCAGGAGCTGCTATATGATTGGTTACTAATTCTTTGAGTGTGTTTTTACTATGTTTTAACTGGACAAAACGATTGAATCAAGAGTTGTATTACATTATGCATCCAACAGAAGCGTATAGATATGACTCGACGTAAGTACGAGGATCGTGCTATCATTGACAAGCTGCATGCCTACAAGTTCTTGATCACCAAATTCTACTACGTGCTGTTTACGCGTGTGTAAATTGCAGTCTGATTTTATATTGCTGCCTCGGTACACGAACACACGACGCTCAAACTCACCGATGCAAGCGAATGAACCTGACGGATGGAATGACAGGAACTTTTGCTCCTGTTTAGACGCCTGTACGAATCCAAATGCTGGTAAGGTAGCCGTGTGTTGCAATTTCAGTCGAGAACAGACTGAGCTTAGCTCGAAAACAAGACCATGCACATCATTCCGGAAAAGTAGTGTAGACTTCAGGTCATTTGGTCCACGGGCACGAGCACTTGGACACAAGAACTGAAAGTTCCGACAGTCGATATCTACTTGCTGTTGCACCGTCTGTCGTGTACAGTTTACTAGCAACAACGACGCCTTGGCGTTTGGATCGCTGCCATCGCATTCCTCAATGCCGTTGAGAACGGACTCAGCTGTCGGGATCTCGAGTGAGCGTCTTTCGCTGCTGCCGATGTTTTCCTTGCGGTAGCGCGTCGAGACATCGGGTGCGTCGTGGAATGATATGTCTACCGAACAAAACGGCGTGCTAGACTTGTGAAACCGCTCACTCAACGGCGTAGTAGAGTCGAGAGACGCCAACTCACTAGGTTCTTTAGGCTTTAAGATCTTGCCGTGAAAACCAATTCCTGCTCGGGGGAGCATAGACACGAACGCAGCCATCTCGTTGTCGTCTAATTCATCTTCGTCATGACGACGCTTGTGAGGCATCAATGTGGCAATCCCTTGTGTATCTTTTTCCATCGTCGTCTGCTCCTTCTTGTCTGCTGCAAACTCAAGAAGCAATTGGTATGTTCCGTCTACAAGCAAAACCATTTCTGGTCCGTTAAACGAAACGTATGCCGGTAGTTTCGTCACAATGGCAATCCTTAATGTCACGTGTTCCAGTCCAGCATCTCTACTCTCAGTCTCCACATCACTTGCAGTAATAGACCCCTTTAGTTTCACTCTAATCAAAGAGAGTCGAAACGCTCCGTCAGTTTCCTTTTCCAACAACGGTTCAGCCACTACAACATGAATATGCTGATATTGTTCATCGTAGGAAGCTCCCAAAAGAAGCAACGGGGTGACACCCCACGGCGAACATTTGTACACAACACTCCATTTGTCTCCTTCTTTTGGATCAGCCTCAGCTTTTAGAAAGTATAGCGTCCCTTGTCCATCACAATACACAACCAAGCCTTTATCTGCTACTAGCACCGATACATTCTCCTGTCGTGTCGTCAACACTGGCAAATTGTAAACGTTCTCACACTTGACTTCAGCAGCTCTCTTGCAGCTCATAACCTGTACAAGTTGATACTCTGCATTTACATAGTATGCAACACTAGTATCCTCACTTTGACTCAGAAATGGATCTGCCGTCAAAGCGTTATAGTGGACACGTGACTCCCAGTGCGCTTTACGCATGTTTTCACTTACTCCCAGCGGTTTTAGCGCTTCGATTGAAAGCACAGTTGCATACCTACGGATACCATCTGTAGCGAGCTCATAGCAGTCAAAATTCTTGTCCACCAATGTGCGGTTTACCTCCATAACCGACATGACGGTAGCTACACAAATGTCTGCTTTACTCTGTTAGTAGTATACACAAGTTAAAGTAAGAAGTCGATATATAAAAAAGTGCATGAGCAAAAGCTACATGCCAATGCGTTACAAAAGGTTACTAATATTCAGAAACGTTTATTGTAGTATCATATCGCTGATGCCACGCGTATAATATATTGGTTGTGACAGGATCTAGTGATTTTGAGATGATATAGACGATCAAGCACACATTTAATAGAGACGCCAATAATTTCTTATCCAATGGATGCAACGAATAAGGAAGCGACCGCTTTCGCGCCTATACAAACTCAAGAGCTGTTGGAGAAAGAAGAAGGCAATGAGCACTACAAACGTGGTGACTATGTGGCAGCAATTGAGAGCTACACGCGATGTTTAAGCCATAATCGCAATGATGCAGTGGTCTTGTCGAATCGTGCCATGGCGTACATAAAGAATCAAGAGTTTGGGAATGCAGAAGACGACTGCACATTAGCATTGAAGATAGATCCAACACATATTAAGTCGTATACACGCCGAGGCACAGCGCGTAACTTCATGGGAAAGCATCGACTTGCGCTGCTTGATTTTGATCGTGCTGCCACGTTGAATCCAAATAGCCGTCAAATTCAATCACAGTTGCAATCGACTCGAGAGCTTATTCGGGCAGCAATTAAGGGCTCTCCAAAACGCTTGGACTTTTTGACTGAAATTGTGGGAAAACGATCACATGTTGATCGTAAGAGTCAGCAGGATTGTGTTGCTAGTGAGAATATGAAAGATCTTGGGTCACAGCAGCTAGCAGAACTTTCTCCTGGCACGGAACAGCAGTTACTATCAAGACACGAATCTGCTTACTTATCGCTACCTCAGGAGGCAACGCCGTTGCATAAAACACGCGCAAAGGGAACGACAAAGAGCTTAACTGCTTTGCCCAAGCTTCCGAAGAAACCACCAGCCACATCTTACGAGTTTAGCCGCGTATGGAAGACGCTTGCCTTGCGTGGAGATACTGAGCGAAACAATCGATTGCTTAAGCTGCGTGCTGACTATTTGCTCATGATCGACCCTCTATCGCTTTGCAGTATCTTCAAGACTTCGATAGAGTCTGACGTGTTACATGAAATCTTTCATGTCCTCCGGTATGCCGTGCTCGACGTGTCGGAGACTAACTCATTACTATCGACTGACACTGCCACATTTGTGCTTGCGTTTATTGTTGAGCTGGCGAAAGTGCCGCGCTTTAACATGACAGTTATGCTTTTGTCAGAGAGTGAGAAAGAAGATGTGGCATGGGTAGTGAAGTACTTGGAAGCGCATGTAAAGGAGTGCAGCGCAATTGAAGAACATCATGTTGGTAATCTGAACAAGATGTATGAGTTACTATGAGATTTGAGTAGTGGACACCTCTCTGCTGCTGCCAATCCAATAAAAAAAGGTTTTGTTATGTTATGACGTTGCCGACTACTTCAATCTCTCATTATTTGTTACAGCTCTTAACTGCTATTCTGCACGTGGCAGCGTCAACAAGCGTCGAATGCGTGAGTTCCTGTTCGGAAATCTTGTAGAACTTCTTGATAAGTCTTACGTCGTCCTCGGTCAAGTGCATGCCCAGCTCATCGAACGGCACCTGTATGCCATCGACCAACTTGTCCACTTGGTTCAACACCTTTTCATCCGCGTCGATCACACACACTACAAGCGATGTAATGTCATCGCTAACACCAAACCTCTTAAACGACTCAGTCACGTTGCGCGATCCAGACATGTTAAAAACCAGTTCAGCGTGCAGACTGCGAGTGGTCAAACGGTTGGACGCATCGCAGAGCAAAGCTCGCGTCACAGCGGCATGCACCTGAAAAGACCCAGCAATCTAATCAATGAACATTCACAACAAGCAGCAAGTATGATTCATCAATGTGTTACACGTTATCACCAACAGCATATCGAGCCTCTTGTTTATAATACCAGGTGAGCATTCAGCAATGCGACGTCAAACTTCTTATCCAGCAAATCGTGTCGTAACGACGAGCTGTTTTTCACGTCCGTATAATACCCCACGTGAAGTGACCTGCATGTTGTTAAGAGTTACAAGTGATATACTTTGATATCCCTTAGGAATGAATCAACGTACCGATTACCAAATAACGCGTAAGCGTGTTTTTCCAGCGGCATTGTGCTGTTATTGGCTTAAGACGTGACACCAACACACCACGTAAATAAATAATGCTACCTTGTTTTGTCATTTGAATTTAGAACACATTTAGAATGTCTAGAATCAAAAAATCATTACAAATGTGACAATCTCGCACTCTAACGAATTTGTAGGGGACACATGGCAATCATAACTCCCGTTTCCACCACCAACCGTATGACTTTTGTGTCCGGCTTCGTTTTATTGTACTTATGTGTACGAAGCTGCATCGACATCACGACCTTATGCTGCATCGACATCACGACCTTATGCTGCATCCGATATGGCCCAAACTCTTACGTCAACAATTCATCCATCGACGCTATTCAGCAAACAATTGAAAAGTGTCAAAACAAACGAGGAGCGTAATTTCCATATCGACATTGCTTCCCGAGCGCCTACCGCGTCGAGGAGGTTTACCAGCATCTTGTGGCGTGTTTCGTACAGCAACTTAATTTTTATCTATCTTAGACGTACCCTTTATATGCTCATGTCAGCGCAATTAGATTTAAGAGTCAGGGAGAAACGTGCTTGGCCCAACATTGTGTATCGCCGAAATTGACCGTTGGAATCCAGTAGTATTAAAGCAAGATACCAGCAAACGCTGCTTGGCAAGAAAGTAGCAACATGTGCAGATGCTACAATGAAAAACTACATTATAAACTAGATTCACCAAACTAGCCATGACAACTGGATACGATCATTTACACACTGAAACCAAAAATGGCACATAGCGCCATCATCGTTTTATGGTAAAGATGATGACGAGAATGATCAGCGTTGAGGTTGGAGCCTGACTTGATGAATAAAAATGGTATATTGAGCCTGACTTGATGAATAAAAATGGTATATTGAGCCTGCTTGATGAATAAAAATGATACATTCGGTGTCAATAGTATAATGCATTGCGTCATCGCCGTTAGATCATCGAACGAAACCTTGTACGGTTATAACGATCTCGTCGATATGAGATTTGTTTTCATGCACTAGAACGTCTTTGCATTGGTTAAAATAGCTCGCAACCAATGAAAATCCATGAAACCCAAAGGCGGTTTGCTTGGATCGCGCGGTCCAGCACTCTGCACCGTCATTTCCGAATTCTCTGTCTAGGCCTCAAGTGATCTTGTTGTTTATTGCTTTTTATCTTTATCTCTACAACTATGGCAAACCATGTAGACAAAAAACCTCGTATTGGTGAGGAGTTGTGTATCAATACGATTCGCATGCTTTCAGCTGATCAGCCAAGTGCTGGCAAATCTGGCCACCCGGGTGCTCCTATGGGCTGCGCTCCTATGGCCCACGTTCTCTTTGGTAACGTTATGAAGTTTAATCCAAAGAATCCTAAATGGAGCAACCGTGACCGCTTTGTCCTGTCAAATGGTCACGCATGTGCACTGCAATATAGTATGCTGCATCTGACAGGCTATGACCTGCCCATTGAGGAGCTTAAAAAATTCCGTCAGTGGGGATCCAAGGCTCCAGGGCACCCAGAAAATTTTTGCACGCCTGGTGTAGAAGTATGCACAGGCCCATTGGGTCAGGGCATATCGAATGCTGTGGGTCTTGCCATTGCTGAGAAGCACCTGGCAGCCGAGTTTAACAAGGACGGCCTGAACATTGTCGATCACTACACGTTCGTCATTAGTGGTGACGGCTGTCTACAAGAAGGAGTGTCTTCGGAAGTGTCGTCACTGGCCGGACATTTGGGTCTAGGCAAGCTTATTGTGCTATACGATGATAACAAAATCACAATTGACGGTCATACCAATCTCTCATTTACGGAAGACGTGCAGAAGCGTTACGAGGCGTACGGCTGGCACGTCCAGGTTATTGAAGATGGTAACTACGACCACGCTTCGATCCAGAAAGCGGTTGAAGAGGCCAAGGCTGTGATAGATAAGCCGTCGCTTATTAAGATTCGCACCACTATTGGTCTTGGCTCGAAGCTCGAGAATACTCACTCGGTGCACGGCGCTCCACTGAAGCCGGATGATCTGTCGGCCACTAAGGAGAAGTTTGGACTTAAGGGGACAGAGTCCTTTTATGTCCCGGAGCAGGTCAAGACATTTTACGACAAGACTGTATCGGGTGCAGAACTTGAAAACAAGTGGAACGAGCTGTTTGCCAAGTACACTGAGGCTTATCCTAAGGAGGCTGCTGAGTTCACGCGCCGTATGGAAGGCAAGCTGCCTCCTGATTGGAAGAAGAGCATGCCCAAGTACACGCCTGCGGATGCCGTCAAGGCCACTCGCCAGTACTCGGAAATTGCCCTAAATGCAGTCGCAACGGCTCTACCAGAGCTTGTTGGTGGCTCTGCCGATTTAACTCCCTCCAATCTAACGCATCTTTCCATGTCAGGCGACTTTCAGAAGGACACCCCTATTGGCCGCTACATTCGCTTTGGCGTGCGCGAGCACGGTATGGCCGCCATCTCAAACGGCTTGTTTGCTCACGGCGGTGTGCGTCCATTCTGTGCTACCTTTTACAACTTTATCGGCTACGCTTTAGGTGCCGTGCGTTTAAGTGCTCTGTCGCGCTTTGGTGTGATCTACATCGCTACACACGACTCGATCTTTCTGGGAGAGGACGGCCCGACTCACCAGCCGATTGAGATGAACGCGTCGCTTCGCGCAATGCCCAATATGTACGTCTACCGTCCCGCTGACGGTAACGAGACTGTGGGTGCCTATATCAACGCCGTGGAGAATTCGCACAAGACTTCGGTGCTCGCACTTACCCGTCAGGGTCTGCCAAACCTGGCTAATTCGACTGCCGAGGCTGTTGCCAAGGGTGCTTACATCGTAGCTAACGTTGTTAACGGAGGCGAGGTAGAGTCGCTCGAGGGTGAACCGGACCTGGTCTTAATTGCCTCTGGCTCCGAGGTGTCGCTGTCAATTGACGCTGCCAAGCTGCTGACTAGCTACAAAGTGCGCATTGTGTCTGTGCCGTGCCGTGACCTGTTTGATGAGCAGTCGATCGAGTACAAGAAGGAAATTATTGGTGAGGGCATTCCATCGATGAGCGTGGAGGCTGCCGCTACCTTTGGCTGGTCTACCTACTCGCACACGCAGTTTGGTCTAGACCGCTTTGGTGCATCGGCTACCATTGCACAGTTGAAGGAGCACTTTGGTTTTAATGCCAACACCGTTGCCGACGAAGCCCGCAAGTTGGTTAAGTACTATGATGGCCGCTCGGCCCCGAGCCTTTTCGACCGCCCTGCCCTTCGTGTCCTCAAAGCTGTGGACCATTAGATGACTGTTGCGTACTGTTGAACCCGTTTGCAACGAGGTGATGCTAAATAAAGGAGGTATGTATCCAAATATCATCACTTCGACACATGTATCTGCTGTCAGAATAACAGTACGAAGGTCATGCAATATAAATTCAGTGACGTACGCTCGCTCACCTTTGGAGCGAAGCTATCAAACTAGAGTACCAGATTTTACCACTCGTATAGATTCGTATACTGCGTTAAAAACAGCTGTAACGCATGCTAGAAGTTGAGTCGGTTCGGATGTTTTTCATGCACGATAAGGTGTTTAACGTCTTGTTAAATTGTTTGCTTTAAGCAAATAGTAAGATAAAAAATGTACATGGACGACCAATAATAGCTAATACATGTGCACTAGCTTGTCCTTTTCAATTAAGGAGAAAGAAGAAAAGTAGTTTCTCATTCAAATGAATGAATATTTATGTCATGATCCGCTTTGTAAGTCTTACAAAGTCTGGTTTAATTGACAAGCCCTCCAATTAAAAGGTGCTCCGCTATTAATGCCTATGGGGACTTTTCGGTGCTGGGTCCGCGACAGTATGGCCTCGACAAAGTTGTCTATCTCCACAATACCCACGTCAGCATCGTCAACCCCTTCTGCACTTTTCTCAGCTTCCTTCCGTATTCTGTTCGTGCTTGCTTCTGCTCTTGCTGCTCCACCCTCTTGACCGCCTCCGCTGCAACAGCCAGCATTCTCTATCACACACGCCTTCTACTTTGCTATTGTATCTTCATACTTCTCGTGAAGTCAAGTAAATGTCTTGTGCGAGGCTGTTGACCCAACTTTCGATCACATCAAGCTGACAGCAGGTGCATCTCCTGCACCAAGTCGATGGCCTTCGTCGGACCGAGCGATACGCCGCTCAGCAGCATTATCATAAACCACAGTAGTATGTGCCGATTTAGTCTTCGAGCAGTTGACACGCCGTGAAGAGCAAGAATTCGGTAACACTGTAGCCTTCAGCATTTTCTTTGCCTCAAATTAAGTTTGAGATAGTGGCTCTGACCAAAAGTTGGTTTGGCCGGATGGCGAGATGGCCAAAGCTGCGGGATTGATCTCTTGTTAGATAGTTGTGGTGTCAAGGAGAGTGCTAAGGAAGCGTGTGATTTGTAGTGCACGACATGGTAAGTAAGGAAGAGAGACCTTAGCAGTGATAACGATAATCTCACTTTATCTTCTTCGAACAACAGCTTGATCTACCGTTGAACGTTACCTTTCCCCACAATATCAAGTTGTAGGTGTCCATTTCGTTTCTTCATTCTTCTTTCTAAATAATTGCTACCTTCTCTTGATACATCATCATTTTATTCAAAGAGATACAGGTGACGACGACATGATTTATTGGTTGTAGCATAATGATGCTAGTGTTTAGTGTGCATCACATACTGTAAATCAATCATACAATTCATATCCAGCTCCCGGCTTAGATGGCGCGATGTTCGGTACTAACACCAGAGCAGAAATCGGCAATTGTACGTCAGAGCAACAATGAGCCGGAATGGAATCAGAATAAATTAGGGCAATGGGTAGCAGACACGTTTCATTTGGACTTTGTACCATCCCAGCCCACTATTTCTATCATCCTACGGCAGGCAGGGAAATCCTTGAAATCGCGAGGACGTAAAAAGAAGAAGCAGACACCTGATCGTATTACGAATAAGGTAGTCAGATGTCCACAGATAGAAAAGGCAATGCTGCAATGGCTAGAAAAGAAAATTAAAAAGGATGAAGCGGTGACTGTGACAGCGGTACAGACGAAAGCCGAGGAACTTGAGCACAAGGTAAAAGTCACAGTGGAAGGTTTTGTCGTCTCGAAGATGTGGGTGGATAGTTTCATGCGGCACCATGTGCTGAATTTTCCATTTGGTTTATCGGAATTGGATGATATGGAAAGTAACGAGAAGGTTGAGACGATACTATGCGCTCCAGCTGCAAAGAAAGTGGAAAAGACAATGACGACGAATCGAGTTGGGAAAGCAGGAAAAACAAGTCGACGGGTGGCGAAAAAATTGGTGGGAAGGAAGGATTCTTGCTCTTCGGTGGGAGTGAAAGCGACTTGCGTGCCTGTGAGAAAGAGAAAGCGTGATGGCAAAGAGAACGAATCGGCCAGGCAGGTGAAGGGAAGGAAATAAGGTTATATTTGAATCCGCGGACTGTTCAACTTTTGTGTAGCAAGGTGTACAAGCATAAGTCTAGCGTTGCTTGGATATTGTCTTGAAGATTGGTCAGTTTGGACAATGGCGTTTTCGCATCAATAAGCAAAGCCAAAGTAAGGAATTCGTGAGCGGTAGTCAACTATGCGTCGATTACTTGGATGTGTTGGAATGCTGTCGATTGAGGGAGAAGGAATATACGTATGCATGGCGTCTTCAATTTAATGTTCGATACATTTTGCAGGTTACAGTATTGGCAAACGCAAGCTCATACCTTGCTTTGCTTTCGATAAAGCTGCACCACATCGATGGTTTTGCTAACGTTCAGGTGTGGTATGTTTTAGCGCTTACAGTCTCAAAGACTACAGTATGGATTGTTTCATTAGGGTCAGCTCATCTTTCAACTTTTAGTGTAAACACGTCAAAATATCAATGGTTGGCAAAGACGAAGCAAAGCGACAGAGTTTCTATGTGGTGTATGTACCGGAAGATGAGAATAAAGATCTCGAGGAGTGGGCAATTAAGCTACCGGCAGACAAGGAGGAGCAGCTAGGTTGTTTAACGGAACGGCTACGCGAGCATTTCAAGGGCGGAAGCACTACCGTGTTCAAGCAACAGCAAGAGGAAACTTTCAAGCAACAACTGCTTGCCCAATTACCCAAGGGCGCCGCACTTACCGATGAGATGATGAAGATGATGCTTCAGATGGATAGTCTTGTGGACTCAATTCCGCTTGTGCTGAATACGTCGGACGTCAAACATGTAGGGGTCAATATGTATGTGGACGATAGGGGGGACGGCTAAAGCTTTGCCGACAAACGTTCGTGCATCGGCTATTGCTCAAGCATGCGGCAAGATGATGGAAGTTAAGGGTGATGCTTTCATTGGACGGGTCTTTGATAACGGTTAGATGTGTAATGGGGAGAGGAGAGCACGTTCATTGACTGACAATTTTTGTTTCTTCCTCATCGTAGATGACGATTTTGTGCGTATGGACTTCCGGTTGAGCGAGGTATCAGGTAGTGCACAGTGGATGCAGGTGGCAAAACTTCAGTCAAATGCCGCAGTGGCGCGTAATGGAGGAGAAGCAGCGGGCGGTATGCTGACCCGTGCTAAGGCTCCGAGCAAGATGATGTTGCCCGGCTCGATTCAGCGTATATGTGGAGCTGACCGGTGCTCAAAAAACGGCTTGCTACGTTGCTCGCGATGCAAGGCGCAATTCTACTGCAGTATGGAATGCCAGAAGATAGATTGGAAGCTGCACAAAGTTGGATGCAGTAAGTAGATGAAAGTAGAGAAAACGTTGTTTCGATTCTTTTGCGCCAGTACTTGCGATATTAAAGTTTCAGCCGAAATTGTTGCGGATTTCTTAGTGTAACGTCCGTAGTGCAAGTACAAAACAATTGAAAACAATGGAAATACTCAAAACAGCAAAGTCAATCGCATAGACCTTTTTCAGCATCCCCTCAGTACCGACGTGTCCACTTTCCATTCATATAGGCAAGATGCGGTCAATTTCTTCCTGTGGAACACCAAGCTGATCAAGCTTTTTTCGCGCAGAAGCCTTTTCAAACAGCAGCTGAATCTGTTTAGATTTCAGCTCGCATTCCAATTTGGAGCGTTCTAGCTTGTATATTTCATGACGATGATTCTGCTCATCCTCAACACGTTTTAGGAGCGCTTTACGCTCAATTGCCATAAGCTCATCGTTCGTCTCCCTCTGTTTCTGAGTTCGTTCAACTGCGCCAAGCTCCTCCTCCAAAATCTTTCGTTTTCTTGTAACAACCGGCGATTCTTCCGGCGTCTCCTTCGTAGTATCCGCATTCACTGCAGTCTTCTTTGCTTCGTTCATTGCAGAGCTTACAGCAGTGACATACTTTAATAATTGCCTTCTTCTCTTTTCGGCAGAGGTCGGGGAACTCGTGACAGCCTCCAAGGCAGCTTGTTCTCTTGCTAGTTCCACAGCTGCACACTGAATCTGTTGATTTGTTCTTAATGTGCTCGTCTTCGCCTTCTCTGGCACCAAAGACTTTTGTCTTTCAGATGTGTTTATAGTCGACCGCAGAGATCGCTTATTGATCTGCTGTTGCGGCTTAGCAAAACAAGTTGAAGCTTCCTCGTTCTCAACGGCATTAGACGTCAAAGACAAAAGCTGCTCTTTAGCTTTAGCGGGCTTCTTCTGCATCAAGGCAGGTGACAAGGCTCTTTTTTCAGCTGTAGTCATCGAAGAGAGGAGTCGGTCTCTAAATGTGTTCCTCTTGTGTAGCTCCGTCGACGTCGCAGCCTTCGTTCTCAAAGGCTTTGTGACTTGATCCAAACTTCTCCCATTCTTTGCACGCCGATCCACCAACTGATCACTATTGTCTCCTTTCTTCGTATGTTTACCGTCTTTACCCCCCTCATCTCCTTCCTCCCCAACCCCTTCCTCGTCGCTCCCTTCCACCTCACTCACTTCAGGCTCGCTCCCTTCCGCCCCGCTCAATTCCTCCTCTTCCTCTTGTATCTTTTTCATCTCGTCGTTTTCTTTGCAGTCTACATCTAGCTCAATGGGCTCTGCATTCTTCTTACTAAACGGAACCCCTCTAAACGCTGGGTCCAATCTCTTGAATTGTGGACATACATTTTCAACATGAGCTTTCACCTCTTTTGAGGCCTTTCCACGCATGTAAGTATCGTGCATACCTGTCTCCAGTAACCACTGTTTAGCTGTAATATATTGTTTTTCAATGGCGTCCAATTTATAGCGCACAAATGGAGCTTTACGGTGTACCAATCCCTCCTCCCGCATGATCTCCACAACTTCACGAACAAGCGAGCTATGCGTCTCCAGACGCCAACGCTTAACATTTCCAGGCACTGTGATCCATCTCAGTAAAACATCCATAGTTGTAAGTCCTCCGGGGCGGGCGTTATCCGCAAGAGAGGACCGATACGCTGATCGAGGATGTTTTCGCTTGGGCGGCATTTTGGGAGATAATCTGAAATTAATTAATCGACTTTTTGGGAATCTCATAATATTTAGCTCAAAACATTACGACTTCGACCTCCATGTTTTATTGCTGTGATTATTTGTTCATAGAGGTAGGTAGTATGCGATCCACCTCAACGGAGTCGACACCAGCACTTAAAAGCTTCTTACGGGCAAGAGATATCTCCATCGCAAGCTGCACTTGTTTTGATTGTAGCTCACATGCCAATTTGGCACGTTCTAATTGATATATCTCGTCACGCTGGTCTCGCTCCTGCTTTGCTCGCTCAATAAATACAGCACGCTCAAGATCTCTTGTGGAATTGCTACTCTTCCTCGCTCGCTTTGTATTGAGAGAGCACGAGTCATCAGAGCTGCGACGCTTCCAAGCTGGCTTTCGTTCATCACCAGATTGATGCGGGTCTTCTTTATCGAATCCAGAATCCTGATTATCTACATCGTGTTTACAATCGTTATCAGATACTTCGTCAACGTCTGAAGCTGCCTTCAACTGGGTCGGAGGAACTTCTTCCTCGTTATCACCACCTTCACTTTCACTGGAGCTGCTTTCCAATTTTTCCAACTTGGATCCGCACCACTTAGTTTCTTCATCCGCTCCTTCCTCATCGATAGCTTCGATTTCTTCCAACTCCGTCTTGCCTTTTTCATTGACTTCATCTTCCATGATGTCTTCCTCGTCAACATCGAGTGACTCTGTTATCACGTCCTCATCTTCATCGACTTCAATTAATTCTGCTATCTCGTCTTCGTCTTCTTCACCTTCCCTATCGTCGTCCGGTTGAGCTAGCTGTATTTGCCCGTCTCTGTCGTCATCATCGTCATCACCTTGTTCCTCTTCTCTCACCTTTGCTTCTTCTTCATCGCTTTCTTCTTCCTCGTCACTGCTTGCTGTAGGTTCAATTAGCTGCTGCTTTACTTTCAATATGCGATTGACTTTTGGGTAAACGTTTACTGTCTCCAGCAACCCTTCTTTCTCTCCAAAACTGTCAATCCCACTTGCACTTACTGCTTGAGCTGCTTCTTTGTCATGCGCAATTCCGTCTCCATCGTCAATTATCTGCTTGTATTCATCGTTTTCGACGTCAATACCAATATATACTTCCGCTTCTTTTCCTGCGGGGAGAGATTGCTGTCGAGCTTTTCCTATGTCGCTTTTACCGTTTGAATTGCTACACTTGTCCTTTACTACAACAACTGCCATATCTTTCGCCTGGTGCTTTTCAGCAGCAGCAGCAACAGCATATTGCCCATCGTCTTCCATCGCAGCGCTTGCAATCTCATGGAGTACGTTGATGACAACATCAACATCATCAGTATCAACACTGTCGATCTGCTTCTTTTCTATATCCACCTTCCTGTCTCCATCACCAATATCATTTTGCTGCTCTGCACTAATACCATTCAGTGCCTGCTCAGCTACCTTTTCGCAACTCGCGTCCTGTATCTTCTTGCATGCATCGACATCATATCGGTCTATCTCCAAACTTTCTTTCCACTTTCCCGGAACACTCTTGCTCCGGCCTGTAGCTGCGATTGTTGCAGGTCCCAACACTACCGTCTCATTGCTCTTGTCTACAGCAGAAAGAGTAGCAATAACCACTCTATCAGCTTTTTTCTTTTTACCGTTGACGTCATCGTCCTATTCATGATAATCTTCCCAAATACTGGTTCAAGTTTTTGATAGAATGGACACAACTTGAGCACCTCCGCAACGACTTCCTGGTCCTGCCTCCCCCCGTAGAAACGCATTCGACTGACCCTTTAATTTTAAGTACGCAAAAGCAATGGCAAAATCTTTCTCCATAATCTCAATTTTGTTTCGTATATCGCCCAGCTCTCGGTGCGAAATACCGTTCTTCTCTAGCGCCTTACTAATCATACAACCCAATACTGTGGGGTTTTCCCGACGCAACCGTTCGGCGTTCCTAGGCTTCGTAAGACATGCCATGAGTACATCCAGATAAGATCCAGATTTAAGACTCATGCGGTTGAAATTCCACGGACTAGATTTTTGACGCTTGTTCCCACTTCCGTCCTTCATCACCTTTTTTCTTGCGTCATTTTGACAAGTAATGTACACTGTCACTGCTTTCGAAACAACTAGACATCAGTTTAGAAGGGTAAGAGGCTAAACTCGAGCTGTCAACAAACACCGTTATCAAAAAGCTAAAGGTCGTTTTGCTATTCTTAAAGTCAATTCGCTAGCGACACGCTTGTTTGTATACATATGGCTGACATCTAAGAAGTCGGAAACGTAAGCTATAAATGCATACTTATAAAGACTAACACATTTTTAAAGCAATGACTGCAAAATATGTGTGATGTAGATTGTGCACTTGTTGCAGAGAAGGTAGAAGTTAAAGTAGCATACCGTCATTAACACGATTGCTCATGCTATTAGATGCAGCTCTGTGCATATGAGATCGTCGCATCTTGCCCGTCCGTTTTGTATCCTACCAGCGCGGGCCATCTCGTATAAAAAACAGACCCATATTATCAAACATGCGACCCTATGAGGTTGAAATTGCACCCAATACGAACGGTCCAGATTGTTCGATTTCAACGCTCCTCCTCGCATGCATCCTGATTAAACCTTTACATGGGACATATTGCGTCGCTCCAAAAGTCTCGGTGCTGATAGTACTTTTGTCAGTAAAGCCGCCATCATGTCTTCGGCCTAAATATATAATCTATATCTATATGTTAAAATTCTTGGCTGCACAATGTTAACTTGCGCATAATTGTTAGATAAACTTGAACAAATGTCAACATGCTTTGCGCATGCCGTGCATCTTTCTTTCTTTCCAGATGCTGAATTGCCGCTTGATTGCCAATTTACATTGCTTCGTCCGAGCTATCTCTATGTTCAGATCTATATGTGATTGAGCAGTGATCCACAAAAAACTCTCTGTGATCCTGACCTTCCACTGGCGCCTAAACTGTCGACTGACGGAGTGGGTACTCCGATACCGTATGCTAGTCCTTCTTCACCTTGTGTACCCCGTCGACACCCTTGGGTTGTCTGGATCGCTTTCTTCGTCTAGGACGTGGGCCCTGATACCACTCCGTTATCCCACCTGCACCTCGATTTTCCGCTCCGATCGTGTTGACTCCGTCAGCTGTTTAACGTCCCCTCCTCCATCGTCGCGGATCGCGCGTCCGAAGGTATCCAGCGTCGATCTCTTCGTAGAGGCTTCCAGTGACTCGGAAAGTCTGTCAGCGTCTCCAGTGACACCCGCGAGATTTCGAACGACGTTCTTCCCCCTGATCGCTGTTGTCAGCTTCTTCGACCAAAGTCCCTCTCGATCGGCGGATCTTTGGAAACCGCTATCGAGTCCCGTGATCCTCTGCTGATGTGGCCCTAATGTCAGCTAGGCGATTCAGTTTGATCAGCGTTGCTGAGCTAATTTTGATCTCTTCAACTCCACTTCTCGAAATCCCACGGATATGTTTTTCCGATCCAAGTTAGCATACTTCGATCGCCCCCTAAATCCGAGTGGACGCCCTATCTGCTGACTTGGGTCAAGACCTCCGCGCTTTATAGCCATGAACCGTAAAAAGTACTGGACAAGCAGATGGCACCAATTTCATTTCGGTTGTAAGAAGCTGCTCACTCTGGGGTACGAGTTCCTCGATCATCACTCGCAAGACTTGTGGGAATCTGCCCATGCATTACCAATCTCCACTAAACAGCGGCGGCTCGATCCAGATCTGGCACAGTAATGTAACGAGAGAAAACAACGCTGACGACGATCAGGATCTCGTTGGAAGAACATTCTCCAATTCATGCTTGAAGGGATGATCGCAGGTCATTGTAATCTGGATATATTTCTGGCCCGCTTCTTCTTGCGGCCGAATGAGCAGAAGATGTGGTATCCCGGATTGGGATGTAAGCAGACCAATATCCCCAACCTAATCACGGCGTTTTACAAGACATATATTTTGGGTCCATGGCGAACCCAATCTTGACCGTCGATCGCCAATCACCCTGGCTCCACAATTCCGCGATCAGTCACTAAATTCTTGAAGAAGTAGATTAAAATTATATATCGAACTTGAATATACACTGTTCCATCCTTTTCTTTTTCAATATTTATTTTTAATTGCGATCAGGTACATAATTACCCGTAATCACCAGCTTTTCGCTCACGATCAGGTACAATTACATCGCCATCATCCAAGTCAATACACAAATGGCCCTTCCAACATAACATACAGCCTTCCTGTATATATTCACTCCTCATTTCCATCCGATCGTCAATTTTGTTTACCGATTTATCCTTCATGCGGTTTCATTACTTCAAAACGGCTCACTCTCGTACGATCGCGGTCAAAATCTTACAACAAAGCACCATAGTTTATATCAGCTTCATTCACCCATGTCGGATCGTCATAGCCCTTCCAAAGTACCAGATATTCTCGCTGGACTCGACCGTAACGGGTCTTGCGGGTAGATCGCGCACCGACGATCTTTTCCACTTCGAGTTTGCTACCTTCCCGTTCATCTTCCCAACTGTCGTGAGGCAACATCGCATCATCAGACTCCACTAGATCCACTTCCACGATCGTATACATGCTCTTTGGCCGATCTGGGAGCATCCTCCCCTGTTTTAGCTTCGAAATTTGAACCACGGGAAATGATCGATACAGCATATCCACAACTCTAAACGTACCGCGTGATCTCCACACAATTCAGCAACTCGAAACGGCCTATGCCACATATGCGCTAATTTCTTCGCATACCCTTTCTTACACAATTCAAATATAGCTAAAAATGCAATCCTCGATCGATACCCCCCATGTGGAAATTGATCCGTATTGTGTTAATCGGCTGGATCTACGATTGATTTCTTCAATAGATCGTTCACTGCAGCCCACGCTGATATTGATGCTGGATACGGTATATACACCTCCGTGATTCCCGATCGCGCCTTTTTGTTCCCAGAGGTAACATTGCTTTCAAAGTAGATCGTGGATCCCAACCATGAATCAAATAAAAGAGGGTGTCCGCACGGACGATATCTTGCGCTGTGTTAAGTGCAAATGTCAATCGTTCCGCATATTTACCCCAATCCTTCTGATCCGCATCCGTCACGTACATCTTCAGAGCCCGTGTCAAATTCTGAACCATGCTTTCCGTAGTTCCTTGAGGCCTGTAAGCCATCGTTGCACGCTGTTTCTGTCCTGCGATCCGGTTGAACGCTCTGAAAAAAATCAGACATGAATCCCGGCTGTCGATCGTGACGGATCGCTTCACTGGCACCAAACCGCCAAAAACTACATTCTTTGAAATTTTCTGCAATCACTTGTGCTGTCCGAGACGAACTTGCCTTCGCGATCTTATACCCAGAGAACAAATACCCACAACAACAATTTTGTATTCCGTTTGTGCGATCGTGGTAACGACGGGATATGATACATGGGTATTTTTTGGAAGGGTTCCGTCGCTTGGACATTCCCATAGATTCCCTATCACAATCACTGGAGTTCGATCCGGTTCAAAATGTTTGAGGATCGGGGTATTCGCAATCTTGGCCTTCAACATAGCGAACGCGATTGTGGCCTTTTCCCAACGATTTCTGCAGTCGAGAAAACGATCGTCCCCTGTCTTAGGGTCCGGATTGCGGATGAGCTAGGCAACAAGCAGTAACTCAACGCAAATATGGGCTAGTCCCTCGCGAAATTAGCGGCACTGTCCGGAAGGCTTCTAGCCTTGCGTTGAGCACCTAAGAAAGGCCCAGAGGTTACTACTTCTGATGCCAATAAGGAAAGGGATGTATCCAAGATATGTTCCTGACTCCACAAGAAACGATTCTTTGCGCTTATAAGTAGCGCCTCCATGCTCAGGAACAGAAGTGCATCCGTGCCATCGATAGACACTATCCCGATCGTATTGGTACCCGGGTGATTCTTAAGATGACGAAGATTGCTTTGTTTGATGGGTTTAGTACACCATTTGCCTTCGCGACATATACGATCTACGAGCTAAGAGCTGATGCTCGTATTGAAGAAAAGCTTCGTTTTGACTTTGATGAGATAAAAAAGCGTTAGTTGCCCGCGGCATATCGTCCCGGATGTAGCAACTACATCCTCACTCAGTCAATCGTAATTGCATTGCACGATATTAACCCTACTGCTCTTGAAGCCCCGGGTCAAACCTTACACATCGTGAGTGACCCAACCACAACCCGTCCTATTGGTAAGGTCTGAAACGGAACGACTAGACGGTAGCTAAGTCGATTGTCGACCCTGCTTAATTCGTTTGAAAACGTAAGCATTCATGCCGTAATGGGATGTCATGGTCCCTAGATTTTTCAGAGAGAGGTTGGTTCTTCAATTCACCAAATCCCGGATATGGTCTCGTTCGCAACGACGCCGCAAAATCCAATTTATATGATAGTGGATGTTACCGTGCTCATCTAGCAGCGCTGGAGGGATGCGATGCTCCGAAGGTGTCGTACGAGGAGCTCGCGCGGATACTTGTTTGGCTGAGACTTGGGTCGACAAGTTTGAGAGTGATCTGGATCACTTCTTATAATCGCCTTTTGCTCTGAGAACCCTTTAGACAAAGTTTATTCCAGAATTATACGGTTCTAGGAGCAAGTGATTTATCTTGAGGTATTAAGTCCAGTTGCCTACAGTGTGCAAACCTTGGTACTGGGTCAAACACGGATTAAGGGTCAGCTGGGCTTCTTGATGAATTTACATCGTCTGTCCCTGGCCTAACCACCTGTTTAGTACCCGGAGCCAGTGCCCTTCAATCCACGTACACCGAATCCCGGTACGGCTTAAGTAAGCCAAGGTCAAGCACGGGATGAGTGCGCATACAATGCGCAAGTTAAAGCGTGTACAAAAGAGTTTCTTGGTCAAGACTCTATATGGCCTGATAATGCGAGCATAA